CGTGGCTCGTACTCGCTGGAAAAATTATATAGATACTCCAAAAGATTACCATATATTCTCGGTACTGTCTGGAGATATCAAACAGCAAAATATTAGAAGCTTATACAAATACAAATACAAATTTCATACAAAACTAGGATCCCCATAAATACCAATTGATTGTCAAATTAACTCGATAGAGAATACATTCACCTGGTCACTTTCATTTTGCGGGGAATCTTATTTGTGTCTGAGAAAACATCAAGATATGCAGAATACTCAAGTGGCTCTCCAAACTTAGAATTGACATACTGATAATATAATTCATGCAGGTCTAAGTATCGACCAAGAGCTTCCTGAAAGAAAATTTTTACAGGATCAGTGCCCAGAAAAAGCTATAGGGGAAAAAATTATCAGTACAGGAAACTGGCATGCCTCTCCTCTCGGTAGAATATGTTAAACTCCATCTTGCATATTCAATGTCTCAAAATAACATAACTTAATTCAGACATAACCTCTTAATATTTCTTCTACTAATCAATGGACAAACTATTTTAAATGACAATCAACACCAAAGATTACATACACGAGTATCAATGAGTTCCAGGGCTATCCTTTAAATTATGAACAATCCCTGCTTGTTGTTTGTCCCATATGTGTGTGTATATATATATATATATATATGTGTGTGTGTGTGGTATTTTACATTATATATATTAAATGTATATATATATTCATATATATGTCATATATATATAGTATAATAAGAGAGAGGGGAGAGAGGGAGAGAGAGAGACAGACAGACCGACCTACCTCTCCACTAAACTCAATTTGAGGTTCTTCTTTGAGAACCATTCATAATCATCATGGCGTCAACAACACGTGCAACTGGGTGCTTCCTATGATACTCTCGTATCTGTAACACCACGAAAGAAGCAATCCGTTATTCATGAAGAAATAAACCAGTAACAGAAGTAAAATAACAGTGAGATTCTAGCTCACCATATCCTGTTAATTATTTTTTAACAAAATATAACTAGACTAAATCCCCAATTCTCATTCCCATTCCACATAAAATTGTAATAACAACCTGCATACATACAAATTTAAACACAAACAATTTCGGAATGCTTCACCACTTAAAGTTCCTTTACGAAAAGATAACATCATTATCATCTAAAAATTGTAATTCATAAATATTAGAAAAAATAGAAAAAAAAAAGCAGCCGACCTCCTTGAGTCTATCATAAAAGGCGCTGAAAACGTTAATTCCAGAGGCGGTTTGGCCTCCGAGTGCAGCAATCTCGTCCTTCCTCGCATTGTCGTTATCTTCATATATTCCAATCTGAAACGTAGAAAAGCAAGCTAGGTCACGATGTGAGAATGGAAAAAGAAGGAAAAACCTAATAACAAGAAAACGCACAAGCTTTTCAGTGGTGGAGGTAATGGTATCGATCATGTTCCGCACACGGTGACTCTGATACAAACGCTCCTTGTTGGTACCGGGCTCATTCTGGAGCTCCTTCACTATCAGCCGCTCCAACCGTTCAACCTCCTCGTGTGCCGCCCGCGTCACTTCCAGCACCGTCGACGACATTCTCTTTCTCTCTCTACACCTCTCACTTCTCACAAAAAATGCTGCTAATACTTAACCCAATCACTCTTGGGCCTAACGTTGGCCCTATCATTTACGACCCAATAGGCTCAACGGGTCTCAACTAAATGAATTTCGGGATTAAACTTCTCTCAAATACTTAAACACGTTTTCAATTCCTCAATTTCATCAAATTTTTAATTTAATTTAAGAAATTAAAAAATTAAAAATTTTCCTCCAAAAGCTATAATTACTTTTAAGTCTTCTAAAAATGTTAAAAGGTCAGTTCTTAAAAAATGTGAGTCTCTTTTTATCTATTTTGTTAATGGATGACACACCATAAATCAAGTTATTAGGAAATAAATAAGCATCACTCAGTAAACAAATTTTGTTCCCTAAGCGAAAATAAAAATTATGATCCTCGCACAACCATAACCTAGGCAAGGGAGAGAATAATTTTCGCATTTTCTCACTCAAAAACCAATTAATAAAAACAAAATATAAATTACTCATAGTATATTTCTTATTTTACAATCAGTTCATTAATCATGGGAGTTGGTGATATATCTTTCATTGGGTCTCAAATGTGGCAATGTTAATGGGTTTTTTAAATCACTTCTTTTAAATGAATAAAAGCAGTTATATTTATAATTTAGTGCTGTTTTTTTTNTTAAGAAATTAAAAAATTAAAAATTTTCCTCCAAAAGCTATAATTACTTTTAAGTCTTCTAAAAATGTTAAAAGGTCAGTTCTTAAAAAATGTGAGTCTCTTTTTATCTATTTTGTTAATGGATGACACACCATAAATCAAGTTATTAGGAAATAAATAAGCATCACTCAGTAAACAAATTTTGTTCCCTAAGCGAAAATAAAAATTATGATCCTCGCACAACCATAACCTAGGCAAGGGAGAGAATAATTTTCGCATTTTCTCACTCAAAAACCAATTAATAAAAACAAAATATAAATTACTCATAGTATATTTCTTATTTTACAATCAGTTCATTAATCATGGGAGTTGGTGATATATCTTTCATTGGGTCTCAAATGTGGCAATGTTAATGGGTTTTTTAAATCACTTCTTTTAAATGAATAAAAGCAGTTATATTTATAATTTAGTGCTGTTTTTTTTTCATTTTTAAAATGATTAAAAAATAATTGTATCAAATTGAAATACTAAAAACATATTTAAGTATTTTTATAAATGTACTTTATTTTTTCATTTTTACTATTTTTAATATATCTGTTTTCAGAATTTAAATTTAAAATACATTAATTCTATAAACAAAATTTGGGATTTTCATTATTTCTTTATTAGATTTAGCTTGGTCAAACTACATAACAACTTATTTTAATTGAATTCTTTTAGTTGATGGATAATTTTTATTTTATCATAAAAGGGATGAAATTAATATATCATGAAAAGTCTTGTATATAAGATAAACAAGAAAGTGGTTTGATTTCATGGTTTTAGTTATTTAAAGTCAAAAACACTTTAAGCTTGTAATTAATTTCTCTTATACTCTTGTAATAGTGTTGTGAGTATAAATATACTTATACTTAAAGTGTAGGGGAGACTTGTCTATTTGTTATAACAAATTTCACATAATGTTGTTATCTTGTTGTTATAAATATACGTTATTGTGTTTATCTTATTTATCTATTGACAGGATGATTTTCAAATGTAAAAACGATAATATTTTTCATCATGACACAATTTATTCTATTAATTATTGAATTCTTTATTCAACTCAGACAAATAATAAATCAACTTTTTATTTTCTTTTTTTTAAGTTTTGCTATCAAGTTTTTCTTTTCTTTTTTTTAGGTTTTGCTTATTTTATTAATGTTTATGCTTTATTTTGTTATTGAAAACTTTTTATTTCATATTTAAGGAATTTTTTACTTTTCATTTTAATAGAAGCTTAGATGAGTTATGCAGTGTTAACATTTTTAAACTTTGAAAAATAAGTTATTGAATCCAATAAGAAAAAATAATCATTTTGATTATATATATATATATATATATATATATATATATATGAGTGATAATAGGAGATCTCTTTATGCCATGTGTTTTAACACCGGAAATATAAAAAAGAAGAGTTGGACATGAGGCCATCTGCCTAGCTCACCTAATCATGGAGAAACGTACTTGTCTGAGTCTTGGGCTCTTATACCACTATTGGGGAGGTTCGATATACACACATATCAACCTTGGGCTCTTATACCACTATTGGGGAGGTTCGATATACACACATATCTTCACACTGGTAAGATATTGTCCGCTTTGAGTCAAACACTTACGGATTTGCTTTTGGTACCACTTCAAAAGGCCTATTACCAATAGAGGTATTTATATGTATATAAACTCATGTCCAACTCTTCTTTTATCCGATGTGGAACTTTGTATGTACCCCAACATTGTAGACTTTATCTAAGTCATTATATTTAAAGAATTTTTGCTATATCAATTCATATACATTAGTATATATTGTATAGTTCAATTGTTAAGATTCTCTATTGTGTGATAGATAATTGACTTTGTTAATAAAATGTATCTTTAAATTCTTCAATTTCAAGTAATTTGATTGTAGATAGGTATATAAGTTTCTAAGGTCTAAATTTTAATCAAGTGAATAATTTCTCTTATTTCAAACTTCCTTATAAGATTATAACATTAATAAGTTTACACTCGTGATGATTTGAGACAGGTGAAATTGATTTGTTTAATTTATAAAGTTGGAATGTCTCTCATTTTAGTATCTTTTTTAAGAACTTTGCTTTATTTTTCATGGATTCTTTTGGTTTTCTTTAAACTCGTGTTGTAATTTTCTTAGTCAACTTTTTAACACTGTTTAAGTATCTATTTTGTATTTACTTTTACTTATATATTAAATGTATCTTGTTTTTCCTTTGAGATTTGAGTGACTCTCCTTACTACAAGCTTTCCATGTTAAAGAAATATGTAGTTTACATGAGAAGAAAGTCTTTAGTGATAGTAGTTCTTTTATACCAACAATGATTGTTATCAGGGATGAGATAGTAATTTCTTCCATTACAGTAGTTGTTGTAGCCATCGTAAGCATTCCTTCAACGAAAAAGATCAACCTTCTCACTGCTAGGCTTTGGGCATTGATCGAGTTAGATCAGGTTTAGGTCCAACTTAACCAACCTAGCATAATCCAAATTCAATATTTTAAAATCCAATCCAACTATATAATTTATCGGGTTAGTCGAATATGAAAAATTTTGAATACGGTTAAACATGAGCAAAATATTCAAAATTAATTTATATTAGATTAATTGACAAAAAAATCAATGACTGAATTTAAACACATGTAAGGACTAAATTTGTAAAATTTAATAATTCACAAAAGTATATCAACCATTACAAGATTTTAAATTAAAAAATTTAACAATTTTTTAATAGACAACAATAGCCATAAACCATCACAAACAACCATCCAATGAACTAGTTTAGTGAGTTCTTGAGTAAGAGCATGTGCCTTTATGACTCCCTCTTCACTTCCTTTTCATACAATCCTACATGGTTAGGTTTGTGCCCTTTTGGGACATTAAACACAACCTCATCTTTCTCTTGCAATGTGCATTTTTTCTAATATCAAAGATGAATCAAACTCATAAATCACAGATCAACACTAACCAAAACATAATACAGGCTAGACAAATAAAAAGGAACATGTACCTTCTATTTATAGTTTATATGAAGCTCAAGGTAACTAGGAAGAGACAAATTATAGTGTTAAAAATCACAATGGTTTCAGAATACTCAGTAAATACAACCTTCTCTTCTACCATCATTTGCTCTATAATTAACAATAAATATTTAGAGAAATGTGTCCAACTTAAATCTTCATCAACTGTAACCATTTTAAATGTGCCATGACCTTGTAACTAATAACTTCATTCTCTTTAAATTTAGAAAATTAACCTTAAATCCTCAAAAGCTTGATTAAGGTTTTGGGTTAAATTCTCAAGTTCCTTCAATAGGCCACTATCACATAATTCAACTTATAAAAGATGAACATCTTCAATCATGACTTTTATTTGAGGCATTATTACATCGAAGTGAAAATATGTGAATGAGAATGCATGACAAAATAATTGAACAAAAAAAAAAAAAGAAGAAAACCCTAGAGCATTTGATAAATGAATTTTTAAAGGTACAACAAATGTTTATTCACCACACTTATTTTATGTTTTGGTGATGGAACAAATTGAAATTTCATTCACCATCATCATACACTCATCAATTTTTTTCTGTAGGCAAGAAAATGGTTTGATCCAAAAATCCATTCAATAGCACGACACTTGTTTGAGAAGAGGTTCTATTTCTTCAATGATGGAAAGTACTTATATTTACCAATGAATAGCTACTGTTGATACTAATTTCTTCTAAACAACCATGATATTATATTACTCCTCCTCCTTAGCACCGCAAAACAATTCCAAAATCTTCTTACCATCAATGGGATAAAAGGAATAAGTATTACAATAAATACATCTGTCCTTAAATAATCACAAATCAAACAATTGAGATGAAAACTACTTGTAATCACACACAACAACACAACTCAACATTCAAAGTTGTACAGTCCCTCCAAAACTACTTGAAAAATTTTAAGCCTTTAACATGAAGCAAATCAAAGAGCCACGAACTAGAGCATCCAACTAACTTAAATAATTATGTTTTTAGTTTGTGACATTACCATTCATGATAGTAATATGCATCTCTTAAAAAAATGTATATCTTCTAAAATAAAATTCAAATATATTTTTGTATTTGTTTGTAACAAATGGCTATAAAAAAAAGACTACAATTGCACAAAAGAACATAAATTAAAATAATAAATAAATTTTAATTATAATTAAAGGAAGACAAACATCTTAGATGGATTAAGAGTCACAACATTAGTTGTTGTGAGATGATGAACCAACTCTAGTTCCTGACCCAACCCTTTTTTTATGTTACTTGAACTTCTCTCATTGTGTGATAATTAATTCTAAAATTAATTGAAACAAAATATTATTAAT